AAAGTTATCCTTGACCCCATCATCCACGACTTCAATATTGTCTTTGTTTCCTAACACTTTGCAGCAGTTTGAAAAACATATGAGAGCTTCCTTGATTACGCCCGTACCACCACTGCTAGAAACAGGTAGTAATCCTACTCCACCTCCTCCCCCTTCCACATTGGTTTTACAACGCTCCACTCGAATTCCTAAACCACTTGTTCGTCTTTTTTTACTTTCAACACTAGAACCACACCTGAGATTTGAGGCATTGGAAGCTAACCATAAATTGAGGCATTGGAAGCTAACCACACCTGAGATTTGGTCCCACTTCCCAAAGGTCACAATGTGGTCGGTAGCAAATGGATTTCTACTGTCAAACTTAAGTCGACACATTGGATCGATATAAAGCTAGACTTGTCGCAAAAGGTTATAATAGGAGCATGGCCTCAATTATGATAGGACTTTTGCACCAGTTGCTAAAATGACTACTGTCCAAACTTTGATGTTGTTCCTACCATACGAAATTAGTATATATTCCAGCTGGACTTCAAAAATGCCTTTCTACATGGGGTCTATTTGAAACCATTTATATGATGCTGTCACCTGGGTACCCTACTTCATCGACTTGCATGGTGTGTAAATTACCAAAAACAATCTATAGGTTGAAACAAGCACCTCAAGCACGGTTTGAAAGCTAAAGAGTACCCTTCAAGGTGCAGGATATCGGCAAAATTATAACACCTACTCCTTGTTCAATTCAACCTCTTCTAAAAGCAGCATCTTTGTCATTTTTGCCTTCATTCTCACCCTAAGAGAGAGGAGAGAAACATTTTACCCTTGAGAGATTGCCCTTGGACTATCCTACCCAAGCTTTGACCATTGTCCATGCCACCCTACCCTAATCCGTAGTCCATACCACCTTACCCTAGTCCATAATCCATACCATCTACCCTAGTCAATACCACTCTACCCTAGTCCCCAGTCCATACTATCCATACCTCCCAACCCTAATCCGTAATCCACACTATCCCCAATCCATACACTACACCAAGCCTACACCATACTCCTTAGCCCATCACACCAAGCCTACACCATACTCATTAACCCACTACACAAAGCCTAGCCCAAATCTATGCCTTAACCTCTTGTCTAAGGGTCCAAACTCCCGCTCAAGCACATTCAAGGGACCCAGGGAGCACACCGAACCGGAGGGTTCGAGCACCACCTCACCCACCTAGGTACTCGGTCTACTCTCTTCTCTTCTCTTCCTCTTCTTCTCTTTCCTTCTTCTTCTTCTCTTATTTTTGTCGTTCTTTTCTTTTCTTCTTCTTCTTCTTCTTCTTCTTCTTCTCCTTCTCTCCTCTTCTCCTTCTTCTCCTTCTCTCCTCTTCTCCTTTTTTTCTTCTTCTTCTCCTTCTTCTCCTTCTCTCCTCTTCTCCTTCTTTTTTTCTTCTTTTTCTCCTTCTTTTCTTCTTCTTCTTCCCCTCCCTCTCTCTCTCTTTCTTCTCCCTTCTTCGCCCTCTCTCTCTCTCCCTTACTCTTCACTGAGCCAGTGGCTAGGTCGCTGCCCCGTTCTCTTTCTTCTCTCTTCTCCCTTTTTCTCACTCTGTCTCTCCCTCCTTCATCGAACCAGTGGCTAGGCCGTTGCCCTACTCTCTCCCTCTCTTTCTTTTCCCTCCTCTCTCCCCTCTCTCACTCTCCCTCTTTCTCCCGCATATGGCTAGTGGCCTAGCTGCTGCCCTATTTCTCTTCTCCTTCCTTTCTCCTCTCTTCTCTTCTCCTCACTGTCTCTCCCGCTCTCTCTTCTCTCTTCTCTCCTACTTCCTGAATCTCTCTTCTCTCTACCCTCTCTCTCTTTCGTCTCCTCTCTTCTCTCCTACTTCCCCAATCTCTCTTCTCTCTACCCTCTCACTCTCATGTTTCCTTCTCTCTTCTCTTCTTCTTCCCTCTCCCCTTCTCTTCTCTATCTTTCCCTCTCTGATAACCTATTTTCTCTTTTTCTCTCTCTCTCTCTTATCCTCTATTTCCTTCCTTTTATTCTCTCCCTTTATTATCTTCTCTCTCATCTCATTCTCTCTCTTTGAAGCACTTCTCAGAAGCCCTCCCATCCAAAGGCGCTCAAAAGAAGGTCTGTCTGAGGTTAGAGAGATTGTCTTCTCTCATCTTCTTCTCTTTTCTCCCTACGCCTTTTCATCTTATCGCCTCTCTCCCTTGAAACGTTTCTTAGAGATAAATCCTCCATTGGAGGTCCTTGAAAGACATCAGTCCAAAGGAGAAGAGCTTCTCTTTGTTTTCTCTTCTTCCCATTTTCTTCTCTTCTCTTATCTATTCCTCCTTCTCCTTTTCTTCTCTTTTCTCTTCTCCATCTCATCTTCTCTCTCTTTGTTTTGCCCTTGAAACGCTTCTCAAAGATGAATCATACATTGGAGGTCCTCGAAAGAAGGTCAGTCCAAAGGATGAGAGGCTCTCTTATTTTTTTTCTCTTCTTCCCCTTTCCTTCTCTCTTTCTCTCCTTCTCCTTTTTTTCTCATCTCTTCTATCTCATAGTATCTCTCTTCATTCTCTTTCTCTCTCTTTCTATCGATCTCTAGGAGGCTCTTCCGAGATTCATCTTGGTCGGATTTATCCTTCCAGTATAATTTCTTGTGAATCCCCCTGCTTAACGAGACTGCAACCCCGATACCTTTCTTGTCTTCCGGTAAATACCTCATTAGTGAGGTGGCACCGAAAGGCTGCCTAATTTTTGGGTGATCTTCTCTCTCCTCTTGCTATACTCTATCTTTCTCTCCTTCTATTTTCACCTTTTAAACCCCAAAAACTCCTTTAAAACCCCATCAAGAAAGGCCAGCATAGGGGACGAGATTTCAATGCTTTTTCATCAAGTGGGAGCCTATATTGTGCATTGTTTGCAAGGGAGCCAAAACCAGATCAAGCCTTACAGGCCGGGGGGCATTCTAACTAATCTGAGAGGGCTCAAAACCTGAGTGCATCCCGATCCCCATCAAGTGAGGTAAGCCTTACCTCACGCTCTTTTCTTTTGTTGGTTTGAATTGCACACACACCGCACCTCCAACCATTATCCTAATAGGCATAGGAGATCCTCATGCACATACGTGCGTGAGCCCAAAAGGGAGGCACGGCATACACACGAGCCATCTTCTCTTTCTCTCTCTAAAAACGAAAAGGAGTGCTCAACGGTTTTAAGAAAAAGTTTTCTCACGTGAACTGGCGAAAATCTTGAGCTGACCACCCACATGGGGTAAAAGAAGTGAGAGAGGCTAACTCATCTCATTTTTTTGTTAATTGTGTGAAGTAAGGGAAATCTGAGAGTTTCTCTTGTTGGAAGGTGGATAATTTTTTTTTTATTTGGTAAAGTTGAGGGGCATTGCTAGGTGAAAGAGATCTCGCATATCAGTCTATACTTCATGTGTTGTAGAGGCAAACACAACACTCTTTGCGAAATCTTTGGACAAGGCACTAAAAAGGCAAAAAAATATCATGTTATTACAACTCTTCCTTAAGGAAACAGATGGAGAAGAAGACTCTGGTTTCGATAGAGTTCCATCAATAAAGGCTAGCTGCGCATGGCACGAGCCCAAGTAGAATAATTCTCTCCTGCCCTTGTGAGAGGATGCGAAATAAGAATAGTTCGTAGACTCTCAGAATGATGTTAAAAATAAGGGGATTGAGAAAAAGAATCCATGGTGATGTTGTTATTATTCATAGCTCATAAAACTTTGAAGAAAGAGGAAGTGCTCCAGCATGGAGTCTCTCAAGTTTGTAGGGCTTGTGATATCATGCCACATCAAAACAAGTAGTGAGGGAACAAAAACTCTAGCCAAAACCCAGCTTAAAATGAAATGCAACAATCACCAAAAAATTAGAAACAACCAGAAAAATCACAAATTTTTTTTAAGGCAAACAGTGAGAGAAAACAAAACTCCGACAAAAAATCAGTAAGAGATGCAAGTGTAGAGAGAGAGAGAGAGAGAGTTTTCAATATTTGCACATGATATGGAAAAGATGTTGATAGGCGAAGGTATGGAGAACTAGATGCAAGCTTTATATTGAGAAAGTAAAACAAATTTGCACGAGCAAAACACAAAGAAACCAAGAACCCAAGAAAAGCTTATTTGCAACCACCAATGGATGCAAGCAAACACAATTAGGAAGAAGCTTGGAAAGACCAATCTCAGTAAAAAAAAAATAAAGGCGAAAACCTACAGATAACAAGGTACTCTATAATAATTAACATGTGCTTATGGTTTCTGACAAAGTTTTACATCAAGATAACAGGCGACAAAATCAGTCTATAGAGAAAGTAAACCTTGCTCTGATACGATGTCAAGTCTTGGAGCAATTTGAATGGAACAATTTTCAATTAATTGTATTACCCAAATGTGGGGTATTTTTAGAGGATACAAAAAATACAAGAGGCTACAGTCCCTTGATTGTAGGGATCTACCTAACAAAAATTAAAATTGTACAATGCTTATCCTACTAAATTAGAAAATGTACAGCAATACAAAATTTGAAATTCAATTTGAAAATTTTGGTAATTCCCAACAATCTTTTTATTAAAAATGGAAATTGGCTTTCGAATGAGAAGCCACAATATTCAACAATGAACAACATATATTAAATGCAAATGTGTGGTCGAAGCTTAACCATTCATTACTGCCACCACGACCCCAGCCCCATTCTCAATTCTCATACTCCTTTGAAATAAGAAAATCCTTAAACAAACATTTGTTTCAAAAAACAACTAGCAAGCTTTTTCATTTCTCCAAATATGTATCAAATAGAAACAGCAGCCATGGCAAGGAGCACATATCAAATGGCAAGGCCATGATGTCCATGTTTCGAGCTCTTTTACTGTTTATAGACATGAGACACTGCATAATGTCTAAAGATGAAATCACAGCTAACGCATGCCATTCCCGTCTAAGTGCAGGATTTCAACAAAACAGTTTTTCCCTCTTCAGCTTAACAACATCAGTCATTAGACATGGATACGCAGCGAAAGACATTGCCGAGCTTCCTATTAAAAATGGAAATTGGCTTGGGAACGAGAAGCCGCAGTATTCAACAATGAACAACATATATTAAATGCGAATGCAAAGCCGAAGCTTAGCCGTTCATTCCCGGCACAGAACAAGTAACAAACTTATCCCTCCTCATCCAGTTCAAATGGAGAGTAGCATAGAAAGGAAAGCAAGAAAGAAAGCAGAGTCTAACCAACAACCAAGTTCTTAACCAAAACCGAAGCAATGGAAAGAGAAGATACTTGACATAATAAGATGAAGAAGAAGAAAATTGTCCTCTCTCTCTCACTGAAGAAGAGAACGGGTTTGCTCCATTTGCTTAGGAAGGGGGTGGGGGTGGCTTGTAGGCAAGGAAACTGATGCACTGGACTTGTCTCTTGTTGTCAAAGCCAATGATCCTATGGTAACAATCGGGGTAGGACTTCGTAGCCTCCTCTAACTCAGCCATGACTTGGGAAGAGTCGGTGCACCCAAACATGGGCAGCTTCCACATTGTCCAGTACCTGCCGTCGTAGTATCCTGGCGACCTGTTGTTATCGCGGGACACCCATCCTTTCTGCAAGAGAAATACACATATACATATACACAAGAAGGGAAATTTTGGCTCAAAAACAATATCTGTGAATTTGAGAGAGACTCACCACGTCGAACTCTAGACAAGGAATCCATCCATTGCGGATGAGGTAGTCGACCTCCTTGGCCAACGCCTTTTTGTTGAGAGGGGGAAGGTAAGACAGGGTCTCGAACCTCTGGTTGTTGTATGGCTCCCACACCTTCCATTTATTCCCAACAAAGGTTTAACGCTACCACTCTTATTATAGTCTTACAAAGATTTCTTAAAGAGAAAGATGTGAACTAACCCACTTCACTTTAACCCATTCATAGGACTAGCTCCATGAAAAAAGTTAGTGTTACTAAAGCACGAACTAAGTCCATGATAATGGCCACTAAGCTCTATTAAAGACATGTTTTCAAGAGCCCCAGTCGCATACAACCCTAACTAGACCAGCCCCAGTGGTAATTATGGTGGTCCTAATTACACCACTTACTAGTCATTCTTCTTGTCCAATTGCTAAAACTAAGTATATACTATATAATGAGGTACTAAGAAGATCACACCATTTACTAGTCATTCTTCTTGTCCAATTGCTAAAACTAAGTATATATTATATATAGAGGTACTAAGAAGATTAAGGGCATGTTTTTTCTATACAATATAAGGTACTAAGAAGGCTAAGGGCATGCTTTTTTTTTCAAGTGAAAGAACTCTCTAAGGGCATGTTTATTCTATACAATAAGGTACTAAGAAGATTAAGGGCACGATTGTTTTCAAGTGAAAGAACTCTCTGAGCACGTTCTTTCCTGCCTCGGCTACTGCTTTCGCTATTTGTTTAGTTAGGTAGGAAAGAGGTTTCATACCAATTCAGGTATCAAAGCTCTATCCCATGGACGGAAATCTCTACCCCGAAACAAAGGTGCACTGATTGAAAATCTTTGAGAGGATGCAACAGATGGCACCATACCTTCATGCATTGAACGCGACCGCCATTTGAGGGGAGAGAGGAGAAGTCGGTTGTGGGCTTCTTGGTGACGGGGAAAGCAGCAGTGGACTTGAGGCCACTGAAAGGGGCAAAATATTGAGATGGAGCAGTCCTGGTAATGGCCGCAGACGAGGCCACTGCGGCGGAGGAAACCATCACAGTGGAAGCCATTGCTCCCTTTCTTCTTTCTTTCTGATTCTGCTCTTCTTCTTCTTCTTCTTCTTCTTCTAAGACAGGAAAGCTTAGAGACTTTTGCCTGTGTAACCATGGTATATATAAGCTCATTTCCGCTATAATGAATTGGGGCCTTGATCCAAGGGCTGGAATTGAAAGTCTGGAGAACTGGGGTTTATTTGGCCTTACGATTTTTGGGTGATGACATTACACTTTAGTGACCACACATGAGAAGGGCAGAGGATTACATCCTTATCGGCTTGAAACAATGGCTGGCTGCCACGTGTCGTCTGTTGAGGGCGTCTTATCTAATCAAGGGCTAAGTTTGTGATGAAGGTGAGGATTGAACGTTTATTCTCAACCGTTCAATCGCGTGAACCATAGATTTTTATGAGTAGATGACCTTGTATAAAACATTTCTAAGAATGCTTAGAAAGAAAATAAATGATAAGTTTTCATTTTTCTCACCTGATGGAGACTTAAAGAGGTGAGTTTCACTTGTATTTTTTTTGGGAAGATATCGTTGGTATCGAAATTGACAAGGTTTTAATTAGTTCTTAGAGACTTAGGCAGGAAAGTCTTTTTTGTGTTCCTAATTTAATTGTGAAAAATCATTGTCCTTTCCTTTGAATGTAGTTTCTTTTCTAAAAAAAACAGAAAGTTGAAATGTGTTATCTGAAAGGGCTATCTGTGATTCAAATTTCTCTAGCTGTTGCATCGAAACACATTAGGCCTTGCACCCGTTCCATTTCTCCCATCCCTTACTCCATATGGGACTTTCCCTCCCCTCAAGTTTAGAAGATCACCCTATCCTCCTAATCTCTCTCTCTCTCTCTCTCTCTCTCTCTATCTCAATGTTTTGACCTCTCTCCCATGGCTTGCTATGTACCATGCAGCGTGTGGTTGCTCCGGCGGGAGCATATTGTACACTTACTCCATTAGGTGAAAAGTCTCTTTGGGATTTTTTTTTGAAAATTTGGTATCCGCAACCTATAAAGTATTTTTTTAGTCTAATTAACATAGGCCATTCATTTTGATAAGATGCTTAGATCTAGGTTTTAGACAGACTTTTTCTTTTCCAATTTTTTAGATGGCTTTATTATGATTAGATACACTATGCTAAAAAAAGAAAAAAATGATTTTGAGTTTGTAAAGGCTAAGATCTTGAAATTCACCAAATGAATAGTCTAGATTTGTTGTTGGAGGGGATTCATTTTGACAATATATAGGGTTCAAATTGAACTTTTCTTTTGAGATTGATTATTGAGATGAAGAGAGTGTGTGTGCAAAATTTTGGGTTATACAAGTACTACAAACATGATCTTCTAGAAGTGTGGTTGCATCATACTATATACAACCATTTTTAAGATCTAAAGATTTTTCTAGTACTTGGGGGTTAAATAGACAGCATGCTCTCGGGAGAACACGAAATCCTTTCCCCATAACTTTTTATCTTTTTACTATATCCACCATCCATCTCTTGATATATATCTCAATTGGTGGGGGACCCAACCACAATGGCGCACAGACCTACGTACCCCCCGCCACTGCTCTATATATCCATCCCTTTGCAATGTAATCCCTAACCTTATGAAGTTTATTGTGAGGTGTGCCATTTTGAAGTAGATTGGTTCTTGTCACTACATTTCTTCCTGTCAATTGGCCATGTGCCCTTAAAAATGGAGTCCTCACATTTCTTTGGAAGTTGCTTTTCCGTTGTCCCAAACTATTGGGAATTGCATTTTCCATAGTCCCAAACATCAAGTAGGAGTGCAATTCGAAGTCTCAGGTTAGAAAATCCAATGTGTGAACTGTTCAAAAGAGTCCCTCTAATTTAGCTATTTCAGTATTAGCAAGCCCCTTTGATTTTCAGTATTTCAGGTTTGGTACACTTTTTATCTTTTATGAAATGTTGGGAATTTCCTTTCGGATATATATATATATATATATATATATATATATTATTTTACCTTGCTTTAATCAAATTATTACATAGGTAGAATCTAAGTACGTCCTTGAAATGCGCCTATTGCAGTTGCCCACCCTTCAAAATCGTTCTTGATGATGGATTGAGGATCAAAACTTAACAACCCTATCATCTTGACTATCATTATCATGAATTGAAAAAAATAAAAAAAAAATCATTTTTTTAACGATAAAAAATATCTATTTTATTCCCTTGTTTCTTCACCATTCAATTCAAGCCTTATGAAATACCGATTATGCACTTTTTTTGGAGTTTCAAGTTCATGAATTTCGAAGCACAAATTGATTTAAAGATATTTGAGATTCTTTTTGAATCCCAAAACCCTTTAAAATTTAGGGCAGACGCATAGCCCCAGCTGACTCATCAAAACTTTTTTCCTTTCTCTTTTTATTTTATATTTTTAGGAAACGGTTTCTACGAGTTCATGTAGAAATGAGTCGCCTATTAAAAATTTATTTTTGAGATGGATTTTTTGACTTAATTTTTAAGGCATGTAATCTCTAACATCGAGATCATGAATATGAATAAATAAATAAATTTTTTAAATTAAATTTATAATTCTATTAAAAAATATTTGAACCATGAGTTTTAATTGTTTTAAAATGAACTACCTATTTACATCCATCTTTAAGATTGATGCTTTATACCTCTATGACCGTAAATATAGAAATGCAATCTCGCCATATGAAACAATTTTCCTTTGGTTATTACCTTGGGCCGAAATAATGATTTGAATAGTGGAATTTCGTTAGGTATGGTAAAAACGATGGCCATTCCGTTAGGTAAACGCCAGTTTTGTGGGTTGTTGGGACGTTAACTAATACTGTGAACTTACTTTTCCATTTACTCTTTGTTTCAAAATAAATTTTTGTCATATTAGCTTTCGAGCTTTTTTTTTTTATTATTTGTTTATTTATTTATTTTTTATTTTTTATTTTTGGTTGGGTCAAAAAATCAAAGCAATTCAGTGCTTTAGTTAACTCGGAGGACTTCAGAATTTGTTTAAAAAGTTGATATAACTAAAGTATATATTTGTATATAAGTATATTAAAATAAATAAATCTATACAATTAAAAAAAAAAAAAAAAAAAAAAAAAGGAAAAAACAAATTTGTACTTCACCGGAAGAAGATCGAATAAGACCGAAACGGGACGAAGTGGCTCAAGCAGTCAAAGCCTATGCACTAGAATTTCGCTTCGCTTCTATCTAGACCGTAAATTCGAAGACTTGAGCTTTTTGAAATAAATACTGCTTCCATCATTTGCCCAGGACAAGGAAAATGATCGTAGCATTTTTTATTCTTTTCCTGATGTTATGTTATGTTGGGACTTGGCAAGAATGGAATTCTAAATCCCACGTTATGCACCTCGAACTCTGACCACCTCTGCCTAGATCATATTATCAAAAATAATAATATTTGAACATCTCGATGATTTTAAAATTAGCTAAAATAGGACTTGTTCATTGGAAGAAACCCATAGAGTAACCTCAAAATTACATATATGAAAACATTAATTAAAATTACATATATGAAAACATTAATTAAAACCTCAACGAGGGGAGCAATATGTGGTCACTTTAAAATCTCTACCACTTTCAAATTTAATTACTATCCTTTCAAATTTTGGTGATTTGACTTTCACCAAAATGTACAATGTTAGGTAGTTATGACAAGGGTGAGGTTTTTATATGGTGTCAAAGTATGAAAGTAAGGTGCACCTCTATACTATACCGAAAGAAAATACTTTTGATGCTGGAAAGCCTATGGTATAAAAATCTATTGTTACATCAATTATAAATTGGAAAAGTATATAATGACATCTTTTATCTTTGGTACAAGGTGGTCCCAATTAATCTTGACCATTAAATGTGAAATTGAGTGGTTGTACATATTCTATTGACCAAGCTCAAAATTCAAAAGAATATTTCTCAAATTTTGTGATAGAACTGAGCTATCAAATTTCAGATTGGATGGTTATAAGTAATCGTGACCTCCTTGTACTAAAAATAAATGATTTTATTATATGCAATCCCTTATAAATTTTAAAGGGTGTGGCTTGTATGAGGCTGATGCTTTAAACGATCAAAATAAGGTGTACATCTAAATAATATCCAAAGAGGATTTTTTACTAGTAAAATCTTTGTGATGGCTGAAAATTTATTTTCGTATCTAATTATAAAATTAAAAACATAAAAAATAGTGTAGATCGAGCAGATAATGCATTAGAATGTGTATTATTGTCCTAACTTCAAATCTTTTTTTTTTCACGTCTATACATAATGAACAATTAGTGGAGAGAAGAGTGAGTTTTCAGTGACAATAGATCTACATCTGAGATCAACATTGAGCCCGTACTTCTTTGTCTTAGTTATGAATAACTTAACTAGGCACCGATAAGATGAGGTACCGTGGTGTATGTTGCTCACAAATGACATAGTTTTGATTGATGAGACTCGAAACGGTTTCAACGCGATGTTAGAACTTTGGAGGGATACTCTAAAATTTAAAAGTTTTAGAATTAGCTGAATTAAAACAGAGTATTTGGAATGCAAGTTTAGTAATAGGAGGAGTAGAAATAAGGAAGTAGTTAAAATTTATGGCCAAGAAATACCAAAAATAATACACTTTCGATATATTGGTTTAGTAATCCAAGAAAATGGAGAAATGAAGGAAGATATCGCACATAGAATTAGAGCTGCGTAGGCGAAGTAGAGATGTATAACCGGAATTTTATGTGATCGCCACATACCAATGAAGTTGAAAGACAAGTTCTATAGGATAGTTATGAGACTAACTTTGTTCTATGGGGCAGAATGTTAGGCGGTTATAAAACAATATACCCATAAAAAGAATGTAGCGGAGATGAGGATATTGAGATGGATGCGTGGCAAGACAAAAAGGGTAGAATTAGAAATTAATACATTAAGGAAAATTTAAGTGTGGCACCAATAAACAATAAGATGAGAGAGAGTAGATTTAGATGGGCTGGCCATGTGTGGTGCCGACCCAGTACAACATATATTAGAAGTTCGAGTTAGTTCAAGTGGAAGGCTTAAAAAGGGCAAGGGGGTATGCCCAAAAGGATATGGTTAGAAATAGTAAGAAAAAATTTGGCCGAACCAAGATTCGTGTAAGCAACCTCCATTAGTTAGAAAAAAGCTTTGACGATGGGGGTTTTTAGAGACCAAAATA